GCGGCTAGAGTAGGGTTGTGCGGATGTGAGTTATTTATACTCATCCACTTTTGATCTAAGCTGTCATCGTGTTTAATCTGAACCGTCTGATCGCGATTAAATAGGGAGTGAATCTGGACCGTTCATCGCGATCCAATTTGGGTCGTCTATTGCGATTCACTTTGGGTCGTTCAATCGTTTTAATCTGGCCATTCAATTACGTTTGGGAGGGAGTGCATCCAGGCCGTCCGTGGGCGCGGGAACGGACTTCAGCCGTTCGATCGCGCGCACGCGAATTGCCCACGTGCCCCCCCTCCCCCCGCGTGGCCTCCCACGTCAGCGCCTCTGCCACTTGGCACGTCCTAGTTGGTCGGGACTGCTAATCGGGTGTCTGACGTCACAATTTTTTTTTTTAAATCTCAAATATCTTATAATAATTAGAGTTAAAAAAATCTTTCTTACTTTTCAAAGTATAACATTCTCTCTTCTAAGTAAGGGACCTCTTATATGAAAAAACTTTATTAGTAAATACATTGCTTTAGTTTTATGAAATTATAGCCATTCATAAGATTTTTATTTTTATGTAAAATAAAATGTATATTTTTCTTATAAACATATATAAAACATTAATAAGGTAGATTAATATACATCTGGCCAAAAAGGGTCAACTAAAAAGTTGAAGTTTCTTTTGAACAAATAAAAATATCATATATAAATACTCATTTTGGTTAAAGTATGAGTTATCTAGTTATATGATTGAACAATCTATAACGATGACCTAAAAATTGAGCTAAAATTTTAAATTTTCAAACCAAGAAATCAAACTCAAATAAATCTAAAAAATAATTGCAATCAAAATTTAAAACTAGTTAAGCATCTATTTTTACAATTAAACATATGGGCCCCATCGCATTCGTTAGATTTTTTTTTCTTGTTAATGTAGGATAAGGTTGTTAGGTAGGGTCACGTGACCGGTCCATGAGGAGCTATGATGGTGCACAATAGATTCTCAAGTACTTCATATCGGTTAGAGTTGATGAAATGTTCGTATAAAAGAAAATATCATATCCTTTCTCAAGTAAGACATCTTTTTTGTAAAACAAAATTATGTTGAACATATCTATTGATCTTAATAAAACTTTAGTCACATTATTAAGTATCTTAATTTTTTTTGTTAAATAGTCAAAATTACAACTTTATTTAACTTTTTTACAATAAAATTTATATTTAAAAAATAATATATTTTGTTTAATTAAAATATTTTTACATATCAGATATCATATGATATTTTTTAAAAATATTTTTTATAAAACAAATTTGATACATATAATTTTAAGTTAACGATGTTTAACTTTTATTAACGTCGGATATTGAAATGAAATTTTTTTAAAAAAATATAAAAATTAATTTTATCAAAAATTGAGACATAAACAGATTTTTTTTAAAAATAAATAAATAAATAATATAGACTCAAATTATTATTTTACCTTTACTATTTATATAACATGAATAAATATGTTAAAATCATATAGATAGAAGTCATGGATATTGTGATCTTTACATGCATATTCTTTTTTCATACCAAAAGAAAAATATATGGATATTTTTTTAGAGATTTGGGGGTGTGTTTGTTTAGTTTTGCCATAAAAAACATGATTATTAGTACTAGAAATGAACCCATCACCTAAATATTTGTATGATATTAATATCAGTAATGAATGGCTGCTCAACTATATATTTGTATAAAGCAAGATCATGTTCATCAATTAATTGTGAAATTGGAGAGAAGAATGAATTGAATTAAATCAAATCTAATTTTATTTAAAATATATGCAATTTTACTTTATTTTTATGAAATATGAACAAGTTAATTTATTAATAAAATTTATAAGACCATTTATCTATATAAACATAATCACCAATTTATTTTGTGATTTGTGGATTGTATTGTAATTCAGTCCCTTCTCTTTTTTTTTTTGTGATTTGATGAATGAACTTACAGAATTGGTTTAAAATTTGATTGTTTTTACTAAAATTTTTATAGAAATATCACAAAGTTATTATTGTTTTACTATCTAAAAAACAATATAAAGTAAAAAATATAAAAAAATAATATATAGATAAAGTAAAAAAAAAATATTATTATTATTTTTTACAAACATATCACAAATTAAAATAATTTTATAATATGAAAAATCATTGTAACGTATGACTTCAATTTTATGCGGACTGAAATGCTTGACATCAGTAGTATATTCACACCCATAAAATGAATAAATTATGAACTTCAAACAAGAAATAAATTTAACATGATTATCATTAGAAAGAATACACATTAAATTTACAAAACAAAAAAAAAAAATTTATAGTTCCAGTAAAATACACACACACCCACCCGCAGAAGACAACGTTAAAGACTGTCATCTGTAACTGAATGTCAACCGTCAAAAAATGATTGATTGATTCAATTAAGATCATCCCCAAATAGGTAGAGCAGTTTTTCGACTGCCCAACTCGGTTCATTCTTCGCCCACCCCGAAGTTTGACAACACAACGCCGCCGCAAGCAAAGGGGCTCTACACAGCGGGCACGTACCGTGATTACTTTCGTCATCATCATCCTCATCTTGATCTTGATCGTAGTCGATCCACCGATCAATACATTCTCTGTGGAAGACGTGGCAACAGTTCCTAAGCTCTCTGACGTCATCGTCCTCCTCCAGATGACTCAAGCAGACGGCGCAGGTATCGGAGATCCAGGGCGCTCTGTCCCTGATTTCAGCGAAGGCTGTGAGGAGGAGGCTGTCTTTTATGATTTGAGACGAACGATGGCGGCGGGGTTCGGAGGATGTGTGGCGAAGAATCCAACACAATAACCATCGGACAACTGCAATTACAACCGCCGTTTTGTAGAGAAGACTCGAATCTTCGACTAACAAACTCATCGGATCTGAAGAGGAATTACAGATGAAGAATTTTAAGAAAAGGAGAAGGAAGAGGGGGGGAGGAAGGAGGGGGGATCGAGGGGGGTTTTTTATAAGGAATGATGGTACAGAACAGTGAGTGTAGGGTTATTGATGACGAGAGAAAGATAAGGTCATTATCGGAAGCTGAAGAGGTCGGTGGATATATTACGTCATCTCACATTTCTTTAATTAAAATAATAATAATAAAAAGGGATGTATCTATTCTCCTAATTGTAGTAGTAAACGTTAATCAATTATGTAAAATTATTATTTTAAAATAAAAATCAGTAGAATTAATATTTTTTGTAATTAAAAAAATTAATTAATATATGAAATTAAATTAAAAATTTATTATGAAAACCATTGATGGGGAGAATATTACGAATAGGAAGAGAAGAGGGTTTAAAAGTAAAAAAGCAAAGCAAGTGGATTGTGTGTATGGTTGTTGCTTTTTGGGTGTTGGGGAAGTTTTAAAGGTTTTTGGTTTTGGTTTTTTTTTTCCTTTCTTAAAAAAAAGAGAAAGAAAAAGAATCCACCACTTACCACATAAAAATATATATATATATATATATTTAATTTCATTCTCACCTAATTTTTTCTTTCAAAATGAAATTCTCAAGTTAGAGGAATTTGAAGTTAGAGTGAAATGTGAGATCAAATATACATTTTTATTTTTTTTTAAAAAAATTATATGTAAAATAACGTAATAAATTCAATAGGGTAATTAAGAATGAGACGATTAGAATATGTTTTCAATAAATTTTAAATTTATTTATAAATATATATTCATTGTAATTCCATATAAAATTTTATATATTTTTAAATTTTTTATTATTCTAATATAATTTATATGTGTTTTAATTAAATAAAGAATAAATTTGTAAATAAAGTTTATGTTATTCCTAAATTTATCCTAATAATACATCGCGTAGAATTTGAATTGATGTTAAAAGAAGGAGAGATTAAATATATATATATATATATATATTTAAGATTATATTGATGCGTGAGACGTGAGATGATCGGAAAATCCACTTTGTTTTTGTCATCAACCATGTTATAGCATCAATTGGTGCATGAACTCTTTGTATGTGCTTTTCGTTAAACACCCAAAATAAGAAGTAAAACCGAATTTCATAAACGCATACATATCGTATACAAAGTACAATGACAACAAACTAATTGAAGATAACATATAAAACCTGACAGTTTTTTATTATAAAGAAAACTTTTAGTTATTTAAAAAATATTAAACTTAAAATTTTATATCAGTAATAACATAATTATACTCCGACTTAAATCTATAATTTCTTACATTAAAAAAAAAAATGATTAATTTATAAAATTAAAGAATAATTAGTATATTAAACTAGAATATCTCTCTAAAAAGTAAATTCATCACCCTACTTTTGCCATGTAATATAACTAATTCAAGAATGTTAGGTAGAAATGACAGGTAGATCTCCATATGGAAGTGACTTGGACTGCATGCCTTTTTTTTTTTTTTTTTTTTTTGAAAAATAAAAAATAAATAAATTTCACGGTATTGAGAAATGACCCCCACCCCACACGTTGTTTCCCACCATCCTAAGTCAGATCCCACCAGTTCTCGATTGCTTCGATCACAAAGCTTTTAAAGAAAGAAAGAAAGAAATTTACAGTACACAGTTTTGCAGCTGTCCCTTAAACCTAACCATCAAACTTTGCTCCACTTGATACGCTACCTGAAAATTGCCAACCAATTTGCAATTCACAAAGAACGGTGATAATCTACATAATACATACCCTTCTGATCCATCTTTCAATTTCTACCTTCCATGTATTGCATGCATATATATGCCAGACCACTGAATATAATGACACACTAGTCAAACTGAAGAGTCAAAGAAACACCGATTATCCAAATTAAAGGCTTCTTCTACCTAATCTTGACACATCACTATAGGAATATCTGCTATAATAACATATTATTCTTTGTTTCAAAGTGAGTATCTGCTAAGGCCTACATGAGATTTGATACTTTAAAAGTTGTTGACCAGCCGGGGGATAGAACAGCCAAATACAAGGGAAAGAAAGAAAAAGAAAAAG